ATATAATATTTATATCAATCATATTTAAATATTATAAAATATCCTAATATTAATTAACTAGATATTAATTCAAATTTTAAATATATATATATTATCAATTTAATATTTAATTGCATTAAATACCATAAATATATATATTTTTTTAATACATATAATATATTAAATATTAATTTGAATTCTTTAAATTAATATATTTTTTATACATTTATATTTTAACCTATCTAATATATTAAATATTAATTTAAACTCTTCAAATTAAATATATATTTTTTTATTTATTTATTTAAATATCTAATGTATTAGATATTAATATGAACCTTTCAAATTAATTTTTTTATTTAATATATCTAATATATTAAATATTAAATGGAACCTCAAAAAAGTTCATTTCAATTAAATGGAACCTTTTAAGTTATTATGAGCTAGCAAGAGACCTTATGAACCGACCGATTATAAATTCAAATGATACAAAATTAATTAATTAATTAATCAATTTTCATTTATTAACTATAGGTCATCCCACTACAAATCTAGAGTTGCGCTCTTAACTTTGGTGTACTGTATAACAAGTTATGACTATATATAATCATTACAAGCAAGTCAATCCTTCACGAGTTGTTCATAATTACATATGGGTCAAAAGTTTGTTTTACCCCTGTAATTACATATTTCATGCACCACTAATTCTATAATGAATAATTTATTTATGATCCAATCATAACCCAAGTCCTCTCGGGCCAATGAGAGGGTGAGCTCCATTATTCAAGTCCCGAAATTAGAAATTAAGAGAACGACTCATCTACTTTCCTTCTATGAAAAGGAGTGAATTTTATCTCATGATATTATGTTCCCAACTCTCTATTTCGTCAAGTTCCCAAAATGGTAAGCATACTGAATCAGTTAAAAGAGTCATTTTCACTTCGGCAAATCAAAAGACAAACCCTTATAGGCAGAAGTTCATAACTCACTTAGGATTAAGATCAAGTCACATATGATCATCATGTGAAATATTGATCTTCTTAAATAACAGATATATAAAGAGAAATTGAATATTTCTTGGTCCAGTCTGATACAAGCTCATTGTATAGGTATCCCTCACTTACATGTCTCCACATAAATGATTTAGATCAAATCATTTGTAACAATTACAAAGTAGATCGTATTAATAGTGTTATCAGGATAAGACACCCAACCTTATTACATGAACACGATACTCTTGTATGTCAACCACATATTGTTCAAGATTACATTAATAACTTAGGATTTTCATACGATGAATGCTAAATTATAAATAAAATAATAAAAAATATTATTAATAATTAATTTTGAGGCTTTTAAGACATAAATTCTAACCCATTAAGCTTAAATCAAAGAATACATCGAGCTTCATTGGGATGAGAGGGAAAGAATTCATGAAGAAGTTGAGGGTTGAAGGAGCTCTCTATTAGGTTGTCCAATAAGCATTAGTTTCTCCACAAAAATGATTATGTAGTCTAGAAGAATATTGGAAGCATCCTCCAAATTACTTGAGAATTTAAGAAAGGTTTACTTAGTAGGACATAAATATTTACCCAAGATTTCAACCCGTTTGGATGAGATTAAGAATCTAAGCCAAGGGACAAGATCCTAAGGATTCAAAGTTATAAGAAACTTAAGTATGACCTTAAGGAACGACTTATAAGATCTCAAAAATATTAGAATACGTTGGGGTATAAGGCAAAGTCGGGGAAAGAATAAAGTTACCTTTAATGACTCCCGACCATAATTCAAGATCCTTCTAGAACTTTCAAAGAGCGTTGTACGACTTCATGATACTTTGAATGACTCAATTATGTTACTTGAAATTTGGGTAAGGCTCAAGAAAACATGTAATGACTTATGCTGTAGACAAGAACCAAGGAAAGATCAACGCAAGGCCTATATCCATTAAGACAAGAAGAAGGCTAGGAACCACTCTAGCGTAACGAACTTAGGTCCTCAAACTCATAAACTCAAGAAACCCCTAATTCTCATAGTGTACAACATGTTTATGACTCATATTGCATTGTTTGGAACGTAAGAAGCTTTGGATGCAGGTTCAGACTACGCCGCTTAGAACACATAAGACCTTCAGCGTAGGTATTTAGATTATATAGCTTGGATGAAGCCTTGAGCATAGGTTCTCATACGACATCGCTTGGAATAAAAGAAGTCAGGGATACATGTTTTAAACTCAGCCGCTTAGAATATATGAAGTCTTGGGCATAGGTATGTAGACTATGCTGCTTGAAACATAAAAAGCCTTGGGCATAGATTTTTCAGACTGCATCGCTCTGAACGTAAAAAGCCTTGGACGCTGGCTTCAAACTACACCGCTTGGAACGTAAGAAGTTTTGACGGTAGGTTTCAGACAGTATTGCAGAGAACGCATGAAGCACACTGGATGTAAGTTTTGGGTGTAGGTTTCAAACAGTATTGCAGAGAACGCATGAAGCACTGGATGCAGGTTCAAACTACATCGCTTGGAATGCAAGAAGTCTTGGATATAGGTTTAGACTATGTCGCTTAGAACGCAAGAAGCCTTAGACGTAGGTTTAGACTCTGTCGCTTGGGACGTATAAAACCTTGAATACAAATCTTACACCATATATATGAGGGGTGGTGTCTTAGGAAATGGAACAAAAAGAAAGAACAAGAACGAGGGGAACAAGACTAAGGACCCGAACAAGAACTAAGAATTAAAGATAAAAACTAGAACCTATATCAAGATCCAGATTCTCCCGACTAAAAACCTAGAACCTCAAAACTAAGACTCTTGATTAGAATCAAGATTCAAGAACTCAAAACTCAAGACCAAGGTCTTAGGACAATATCGTGACAAGTTTTAAGAACAAAACCTAAAGCCTTACCCAATTTTATTGTAATTACATAGGTGTGATTGGAATCTATATAAATATATACAAACTTATGGATACTTCGGATGAGAGCATAATTAAAAAATTAAAAACATTTGGAACAAAAAAAAGTGTTCGAAATTGTTGAGTAAAACATATATATGGTAACCACAATATTATGATCTATTTACTAAAAATTATTGATTTGTTTTGTAACATTGAAGAAATTTCAGGAGCAGAAATGGAACGTGAAATTTATTCACACAACTCCTTCAAAGTCAAATCGCTTACTAAGCTTCTGGAGTGCGAAAACAGGGACAGAAGCATCCAATTATTCTGATCCCCAAATCACCAACGCATCCGGAAACCGCGAACCTTCTCGATCTCGATCCATCTCTTCTGCTATCTGTTTGCACGATGATCGGCACTCCGTACACCGGGTCCGGATCCATGTAATGCTGGTACAGCGGAGCGGCCACAAGCGGCGCTGCGATTTCTGCTTCCTCGGGATGTTCCGATGGCGGAAAGATCCGATCGTCTAGCCATGGGGGAAGTGGCGGAGCTGAGGGCTGGATTGCGGAGGAGCAGTGGCAAGTGCAGCAATGGCAGGGCGGCGGCAGCGGAGGGAAATCGTTGGGATTGGGGATTTTCTTCCGCTTCTTGGATCTGGACCAGAATTTGAGTTTCTTCTTGGCGGCCTTAAGCATTGTTAAGAGAGTTTGAATTGTGGAGTTGTGGAGGAAATTGGTTTGGTGAAATGGGGATTTGAATGATTGCTTGCATCTTTCAAATCATGTGACCGTTGCTCCTCTTTTGTCCTCTCCTTTACGCTCCACTCCCACTCCCTTTATTCAATCTTTTCAATATTGTCAAAAACAGAACTTTGAAGGAATTCAATTAAAATATTAATGAATTTTTTTATTACTAAGGATAGACGGTACGACCAAGAAACGATATTACAAGTTTAAGGGTTTTACAATACACGAAATACATGATTTAAAAAAAGAAAATCTTTCGTAGTCATCATAGTTCTAAACTTGTATGGTAGGCCCTCAACATGCGATTATAAGTTCTCAAAAGATTTGTGCATTCTAAAGTTCAGCCAACTCAAGGTACTACTACGAACCTCTCGTTTACTAAAAGAAAATTAACCACCAAACTATCTAATACTTCTCACATAGCACAATCATAAATCATAAGTAAGTTCTATAGTTATCAAACCCCCTCGATAATTGCATCAGATTTATGATTAGGGACTAGTTGGCGAACCGTAATCATCCCCGTATGACTGCATTAACATCTCACGCATAAACAAAATTTGGTCAACCCTCAAGGTACTACTACAGACCTCTATTGCTCATGAAAGGTTCACTAAGAGAAAATTAATTGACGAACTCCTTAATACTTCCCACAAAATATAGTCATAAATCATGAACTAGTTCTATAGTTATCCAAACCACCAATAATTAAGTCAGGATTACGATTAGGGGTTAGTTCGCGAACTCCTAATTATCCCTAAAATATCGCATAAAATCACATGCGTGAACAAATCATGAATATAGTCATGACATAACTATCTAAATATGGATCAAATAAATTAAACTCAGTTGAGACTCAAATTTCTAAAATGTGTTTCTTCTATCGTGCTTTCATGTATACTACAAGCATAGTTAAATCAAAAGTTCCAAGGAGCCACTTGGTATGCCCAACACGTTTCGTCCGAGTTTAGGCCTTTCGAAAGTTTCAAATATGCCCTAAATTAAGTCGAGAAAAAAAAACCAAAATAGTTTGCAAAATGGACTTTGAGAAGAACCCCTCTGTTTTGGGTGTTCCGCCACTCGAATCAAATTACTTTCTCCACCAAACTTGTAGATCTAAAATTCAAGAACATAATGGAACAAGTTTCAGAAAAAACGATATCGTAGCTTTGGATTTTCATTCTCGATCTTCTCTTACAAGTGTTTTTGCCTCTCGCCCTCTTAAATATATAAAAACTCCTTACGAACCTAAAGCAACTCGAATCAAATAAAACCATGAAGAAATAAGAACGAATATGTTCGCATAAAGTTCGAGTTAAATCCACAGCTTCCCCTCCATTTCATCCATCCTCCCATATAATTTCATAAATTCAATAACATTTGGCAATCAAAAATATAATATCAGATAATGTTACATTTACATTGGAAGCATGGAAGATGTTTTGAGCTTCTTCCTCCCCCCATTATCATCCACAACCCATACAAAAACAGACTCCTGCAATCAATATAGTGCAAAACAAGACAGCATCACATGTTCCTTATGTACAAAAATGCAAGCTCAAGCTGACTCACATGGTTTCATGATCAGGAGACACAAAACCCTCAAAAAATTAACTAAACCGAACCGAACCGAACCTTATTCGCTACAAATATTCGTTTCAACGTCTTAAAACACAGGACACTATTCCTAAATAACAAACTCATTCCTCACTCTATTGATGAGCTCAGAAAGCCTTCACCATTTACCCCAACCCCCTTCATATATGTAGCAGCTCCTGCAGCTAGCTTTGTCGTCATTGGAATCTTCGGAGTTTCCAAGTGAAAATATACGAACGCCTTGTTCCAGATTCCATTCGATCGACCCCCGCAAGACGATACCTATTTCTTCCACTTCCCCATCCCCTGGTGAAGATTCCACATTTTCTTTTTCCTCTGCCAGTGACTATACGCATAGGATACATCTCCATCAGCAATCTGACCCGACGATGGACGACTGATCCTCTGTGTGGTTGGCAGTCATATCGGAATCTGGCTTACTAAGCTTTGTCTCTCCACCGAGGGGGAGTTTTATCTTGGGCGACAGTCTCTTCACTTCTTCGGTCGTGTAGATGAATATCTTCCTTACCATGCTGACAAACTCGCTGCAATCATTTAGAAAGCTATACATAAACCCCAAGTTTCAAATCCACGCATGATTAAGATATCTATCAGAAAAGACACCATTCGATTTAAGCAACTATAGCAAATAACTAGGTGGATGAAAGCATTTGATTCATTCCGATTTCTGTACTAATATTGAACAGGCAAAAAAAAATTGGGTGTGTTCGGAATTGGTATTAAAACGTGTACTTACTTCCATGGATCGTCTCCAACCATCATCATATCATCTTCGTCGTCGGTGTAAACAACCTGCCATTTCTTTACAGAGCCACAAAGCTCACCCTCTATGTCAAACATATCCTCCAATTTCCTAAGTAGATCATCATATTGATTGAACCGTGTTAAATCAACGGCCCTCCCAACGGCAATTCCTTGCATATGAACCTGAAAAAAATATATATTTAACCTTAGTTTATAAATTTCATACATCAATGAAATATGTTTCTTCTCAAAAAAGAATGGGCAAAGTGATGAAAGGTCGATGGATTGAAATACCTTCGTGCAGCTACGGATTTGTCTGCTTTGAGACTCTAGTGGGGAAATCAAACATGATTTATCAGCATCACAGCTTACTGAAGGAATATCTAATCGGTGAACGTTTGATCGCTCAGAATTCTGGTCGAATTCTGCGTCTACCGGTGGAACCGACCTATCCTCACTGACCATTTTAGGAGTTGTATCTGGAGAAGCTTCACCGACATCGGAATTTCCAAGAAGCTGGATCCCAAAAAGCCTGCACCCATTTCTAGTGTTTTGTTTCTTTTCAATGGGTTCCCTGTTAGCTCCATGAGATGAAGTGTCAATAATATTTTCCACCCTATTGGTATTAGACCAGTAGTTGTTGCTCGACACAGCGCCAAGAGAACTATTCCCATTAAAACCAAGAGAATTCGAAGCAGCAGTACTGAACTTCGGTGATGAATACACATCCCTTCCACGCTGTGGTGGCTCAGTAAACGAAAAAGCAGAAGATTCAACCGTAGGTTTCCACCCGCCTAGTACATAAAGATAATATCAATAATGTTCCATCTAAAATCAAAAATGATTTATTACTATTAAGAAGGGTTGTATTACCGAGTACAGCTGCATCGGCCGTAGGTGAAGGCAAAACAGTTGGCCGTGGACGCTTGTTCCTCTGCGTGGGCTGAGAGCTTAGAGGGTTTGAAGCAACAAGTGGTTCCAATTCCCAAGCAGACACCCTATCTGGACGCAAGATAGATGAAGGTTCATCCCATTGCACCTATATCAACCAACACCAAGAAGTGAGTTATTGAATTATAAAATAAATCATTGATTCAAAGTCTCTTATTTTCAGATGATAAAAGTTGCGTTAGCTTTTGGGTGCTTATTTGGCTAAAGGAGTGTCATCTAAAGACTACCATCTCACACGTTATCGGTAAAGGAAAGATCAATACTATGAGAACCCACTACGTTTCTTTATGCATAATATGCAATATGAATACTTATCTATGATCGATGATCGGACATGCCTCTTAGGCAGTAAGGTTTGCAACAACTCTATCTATTAACATGATGTTAGGAAACTTTTGGGAATTGATCTAATAATCTTGTTGAAGAACAAGACCTTTAAATCTAAATTATCCAAGAACCCCAAAAACGATAATGAATCGAGCCAAAGAAAAGTTTTGGAACGAATTACCTTGATGATCCAGATCAAGAGTAAAGAATGCATGATTTGAATCAATCTACAATATAGTTTGATCAAGACTACTTGAATGAGTCTAACATGCAAATCTAAACACAAGAAATGCAAATAAGCAAACTCATGGCTTCTTAAGAAGCATAATATGCAACTTTAAGCCTTTATACTAAGGCAACAACATGAATGGCTATTTATAGCCATGAAAATAAACCTTATAGTAACCTCTCATGCCCATCAATACCATAATGACGAACTAATTGCAACTTAAAACCTTAAAAATAATACTCTAAAACTGAAAAATACAACGAAACATCCCTAAATCCAAATATGGATGGTACAATTTTGTTATCCACCCTGAAGTCTTTGTGGCATGATCAAGACATCTTATTTCGTACCGTTCTTCCCTTCTTCAAGAGGATTCATCCTTGAATCCAATTGATCCCCTTGTAATGCAAACTTAAAATCATTTGCATTTCGTGGTCTTAATCTTCTTGAGGTCTTCACTTTTATCTTTAGGTCATAGCATGGATGTAAAAGTGGAATGGGAGTGTCGTTTCTTGTGTAGCTCATTGGTCTTGTTTTGTCCATAATTCGATGTTGGCTCGAATAAGAATCAATTATTGAATCTTGCTTTTCAATAAGCATTTTAATTTCCTGCAATAATTCAATAGAAAAAGTAGGTACACTTAGGTTAAATGCTACCATTAGAAAGAAAGTCCTTTCGCTTTCAAGTTTGTGTATTTGTCCTTACATATATCAAACATTGTTCTCTCACACTCTTTCGCCTTTTCACTTTCTTTCACTTTCTATCTCTAATGGACATGGAACAACATATACTTGCATACTGTCTTTGCTGGTCTCCACGTCATCCGTAACAATACCATCATTTTGAAACATTGTCTAGCGGGCATAAGATAATCTTCCTCTTTTTGAATAGGTTGTACAATTTGTCTCACACTTATTTGGTCTCATAAATTCAACTCTTGACGTAATTTAGACATGTGTTTCATAGACCGGTGGATTTCATCCAAATTTCCTTGAAAAGCTATCGAAAATGGATCTTTGTGGGTCTCACAATGTATTTTTGTGCTTGATGGAGCATAGATTTGGTTGATCTCCTTTGTGACATATTGCAAGGAATGCAAAGAGACAAGAAAACGAATTTTTCCACACGACTTTATCGAAGTACATATATTTCTCCTTTATGCAACCCAAATTTCAAGAACTTATAAGATACAATGTTTTCGAATAAGATGAGATCTATAAGAACACAGAAGACAAAAAAAATATGAAAAAATAATAAGAACGACACTTTTTTTTTTTTTTTTTTTTT